GGTAATTAACACGGGCAATCCAACACTTAGAGAAGTGTAGCTTGTGTAATTGACATCGTGTGAGTTGTAAAAGTTATCGGTGATTTTTAAAAACCATTTATGTAGATTATGAGATATAGTGAAAATCTCCTCGAGGTGAGGAGTGGAGACGTAGGTCGAGGATTGACTGAACTCCGTGATCATATATTGTGTTTGCGATTATTTTTGACGCATTATTATTCTTTACATTTTGTGCTTGTTTACATCGACTATTGTCTCTTGTTGATCCTTGCATATTTTATTTTATATCATATTACTAGGATGTTGCATTACAAGTTATTAATTTGGCATTGAAATCGGATTAGATTAGCAATTATCCTATTCACCCCTTCTAAGGTACTTTCAGAAGCAACATCTTGCCGACCAAAGAAACAATTGCATAAAACCGACCGTTAGGTTGACGAATAGGAAATTGCTCTCCTGCTCCTACAATGGGGGGATCTTCAAAATGTCCAGAAAACTGACCGTTGGGTTAATGGATGCTAATACCGCTAGTGATCCCGAGCTAGTGAAGAGATTAATGGGGAAGATGATTCAGCCTAGAGAGTGAAGAAAGCTTATACGAACAACAAGATATCAATAGAGATCGGGTCTATAAGCACGTGGCTAGATGGGCATATGAGAATAGCATTCCTTTTCATGTCATCTCCACCGACTCCTTATGGATGTGCACCACCATTGGGGATTATGGACGTACATACCGATCATTTACCATGTACACGATGAGGGAGACATTGTTGAGGGGTGATGTGAATGGGACTAAGGACTCATTGGAGGAGCACAAGAAGTGGGGAAAGAGCACATATTCTATTATGAAAGATGCTTGGTCACATAGGAAGATGCAGTCAATCATGAATCTATGCATGCACAGCAGGTTAGGCACGACCTTTTCCAAGTCGATTGAGTGCTCCGAGGGGCTTGCATATGGGAGAGTACATTTTCAAGCAGGGAGACACGGGTAGTAAGGAGATTGGGGCACAGAAGGTCATTCACGTTGTCACGGATAATACATCTGCTAATATGGCGACGAAGGAGAAACTAAAGTAAAAGAGACTGAGGATCTTTTGGACTAGTTGTTCAACTCATACTATTGACTTGATGTTTAAGGGCATCGAAAAGTTTGACATCCTTCAAAGCAACCATAGAGAAAACAAAGGCCCTTACCGTTTTCATCTACAACCACTACAAAATCTTGAATATGATGTCGCTTTTGTGTAAGATGAGGGATATTGTTAGACCCGGAGTCACTTACTTCACCACTGTATTCTTGACTCTGCGAGTGTTTATGCAAAGAAGATGAAGCCAAGACTCATCTTCTCTAATAAAGAATGGAGGAAAAGCAAACATTTTAAGACTACAAGGGATAGAAAAGTAGAGGCTATGGTGCTATGTGAGTTAGTGGCAATATGTGAAAAGGTTATTGAAAGTCTATTCTCCTTTTTTTCAAGTCCAATGATAGATTGTATGCACCCTTGCATATGGTAGCTTATGTCCTTAAACCTTACCACTTCTTCCCAGATGATGTAGCTAGGAACTCTACAAAGAGGAAGGAGGGGTTTCTAAATGTGGCTAGGAACTCTACAAAGAGGAAGGAATGGTTCCTAAATGTGAAGTTATTCTATCTCGACAAGGAACATCAACCCGAGGCTACTAAGGAGTTTATGAAGAAGTACAAAGTGGTAAGTGTTCATTTAGTAGAAGTTTGACAGCGAAAGCTAGGCAGAAAGTGGACTTCAATCTAGGTAAATTAAGTTTGTAAATTAGATCTATCAGTCATAAGTTATTTGATCAGTAGAGAATTCAATCGAGATAATGTGTTTTACAGCTAGTTGGTGATATATGTATGGCAGTGATTGTCCTTTTCAGCAAAACTTGGAGATGAATGTTCTTAACCTCACTATCACTAGCAGTTCTTCTGGATGCGAGAGGAGTTAGAGTACATTTGATGGGTAAATTACATGACTATCTAAAATTAATAAGATGAAATTATTCATGTATGACTTCACTAACTTGTTCTTTTCTTCTTTATTAAAGATTCACACAAAGAAGAGAAACTGATTGGAATCGAAGAGGTTGGAGGATTTTGTGTTTGTGAAGTTGAATGTCATGCTCAAGTAAAAGAAGAGAGCAGACAAAGATGTGCTAATAATGCAAGATCGTACTACGGCACATGCACAGATCCTCGAAAGAGTTCCAATGACTAGGAAGAGACTTATCTAGGTTCGAAGGTTTCTTGGACGATAGTGGAGAATGTATCTGGAGCAACTGAGGTTGCAGCGAACCGAAGGAGTGAGAGAATAGCAAGAGTTGTAGGATCTTCGATGATTATAGGCGAAGAAGAGCCTCTTGCATCCGACGATGATGTCACAAATGAGGATGAGGGCTACGTGAACATGAACTCAAAGGATAGCAATCATGCAGTGGAGGATCTGGATTTCCATGATGGTGATGATTAGATTATATGATTATGTCTTATGTTAGACATTTAGACTATTCATATTTTATTTTATTGAGCAATACTGCATTAGACTCTTGAATTTGTGATATTATTTATGGTTGCGGTGACATATTATGTTAAACATGGTGATGCTTCTTCGTATTTAGTTACTATTTTGGCTATTTAGTATTTATGCATGGTTGATTGTAGATTTAAGATTGCTATTCATTTATCATTTTGCAATTTTTATGAATTTAATTCATGTTTTTGTCAATTATTATAATTAAATAATTTAAAAATAAACAAAAGCCCAGGAGCCCTCTAGGCGCTAGCTCAAACGTCTAGTCCGCCTAGAGCTTTCTATAACATTGACCCTTGCCATAATGAGTAGTACATTGCTAGCTCTTTGGGCTTATTTTGCACCTTCCTTCCACGTAATTGATTGAGATCAGTCACTTTGAGACCATCTCTTACTCAAGCAAGATACTAGAACTACACATAATTCCATTGTTTAGTACACCTCAGTACCTCACATACATCAGTGTGGAAAACAGTTGCATAGAACACTCATTCTTTCTATAAAATTGAATGGACTTTGGTGCGGTAAATAAATGACTAAAACTTGCCATAATGCTTTTAACCTTGATTTCAGGCAGCTTTCTTCTTTTTTTTCCATACTCAATGTCTCAAATAATGGATTTCTTCTTAATCCTAGAGTATTTGTTATATTTTTCAAATGTGTATAACAAACAAAAAATAAAGCTAAGACCACAGTAGAATTTGTCAGATGAAAGTGACAATGTTCTTCAATTATGTGAAGAAGAATTCTCCAACTATCTCCTCAAGCAAAAGAAGAATGAGTTAATAAGCTTGATTTGCTACTAACAAAAAAAAATTATACAATGTTTTCAGTTGGATCAACATCTTTCTTCAACTATTGGTTTATGATGACATACATTTGACAGTTCACTGATTATCCTGGGATCTTAATGATGAGGGCGTGAAAACAAGTCATGCTTAATCACTTAGGACAACAAAATTTGCCCTACTGTGGTATGGGCTCTCCTAAAGTTCAGAATATCTTCTTTTAATTGTGCATAAATGCAGCAGTACAATCCAAGATTTCTATGGACTAATTTGATACAAATGTTGATTATTATCACTAAATGACTAATATGAACTAGATTCAGAAAAACTTTAGGAAAACATGAATTTCTAATTGGTGATGCACAATTATGGAAGTTGGGTTGTTGAATAGCTTCTAGACAAACTGCAAATTAAGAAGTAAGGACAAATTTTCAAAACCAACCTATTTACAAATTTAATAGCAGAAAACAACCTATTTCAGATTTAATTGCAAAAACCGACCTGGTTTCAGCCCTGGAGCTGAAACCAGGTCGGTTTTTGAAAATTTTTATCCGAAACTTCACGGGAGTTGAACTCCCGTGAAGTTTCGTAGTTCAAATTTTTTTTTTTTTGTACTGGGAAACTTCACGGGAGTTCAACTCCCGTGAAGTTTCGAAAGTTTTTTCACAAAAACCGACCTGGTTTCAGCGCCAAGGCTGAAACCAGGTCGGTTTTTGCAATTAAATCTGAAGTGGGTTGTTTTCTGTGATTAAATTTGTAAATAGGTTGGTTTTGAAAATTTGTCCTAAGAAGTAAAGATAACCTGCAAAATACTCTGTGAATTAGGTTGGCATTAGAGATTCAAAATACTCTGTGAATTAGGTTGGCATTAGAAATTCAAAGTCTAGCATGGATGATGAATGAATTTTCATCCATTCCCTCTTAATATTTAAATATGAGGACTATAAAATATGCAACATATTGCGTGAATGAAAAACAAAACCTGTGCTACAACAATCTTGATCTTAGGAAGGATACTACAGAAAGAATTTAGAAGAAAGAAATCACAGGTTCTTTGGATTTTTCTTGGCTGGTAATTTGCATTCCAAAGACTTCGACACAAAAGCCTAAGCATTGGTAACAAGCGAAACCTGTTGAGAAAGATTACAGCATTGATGCCTTCACCTAAAGACACCATAATTATGGAATGATTCAAAAAAAATTATGCTGCACATGAATCAAGATCTTTGAGAATTAAGAAACAACATAAGTGTAACCTTTTTAAAGTCTAATTTGCTCGGAAGCTCCATTTTTAGTTAATTAAAAGCTTTCCCAAAAAGATGCGCAACACCAATTTTCAGATACCCTTTTTTTCTTCTCCCCCCCCCCCCCAACCCCCTCCCCCTTTTCCCCTTTTTTTTTTCCCACATCAGAAGGATAGCATTAAAGCATATCTCTTGTTTAGTCATCGACCAGATCGGTGGTCTCATATACATAGCAACCAATTTTTAAATACCCACATCTTGAATCCCAAACAACAATGACAACAAATCAGACACGCACCATTCACCCAATTACAAGAAACAAAATGCACTAGAGCTGCAAAAAGGAGACAACTTTATTCCTACATTTCTAATCAAAACACTAAGAATGATAAAAGGGAGAAGTTTGATCTCACCACCGGTGTTCCATAGGTACCAGGCTGGATAACGTACTGCTGAATCGCCTCAGCTCCGCTGCTACTCGCATAACAGCACCCCGCCGCCGAGTTTCCGCCATGCGGAGCGTAGGGGTCGGCGACCGTCGCAGGATTGGGGATGTAACTAGGGATAGGGCTAGGGTTATGGGCAGGGTAATTGGCTAGGATTGGGGATGTAAATAGGAGCGGGTAAAGTTTTGACTGGACTTGAGGAGGGATGCTACATTGCAGCGAAAAGTGGGTGCGGGTCCCACATGTCAAGAGTTTGTCACCGTCTGGGAAACTGATTACTATCCATTTTTGTTAAAAAGTCTTTTCAGAAAATAAATATTAACCAACTTAAAAGTGAAAATTGATTTATTTCTTTTATTTGCGACACCTAGCTAAAGTACAATTTGTTATAATTTTGGGTTTTTTTCAATGGTAGTCCCTTAAAGCTTCCGTAATTCCATATTAGCTCCTCAAGTCTCTCAAATCTTCTAATTGCTTACAATTTGGTCTTTGTGTTAGAATTACCAAGTAGGGAGATTCCTCCAGATAAGGGGCGTTTGGTTGCCTTTTTAGAGGGGGAAATAGGCTGAAAGCCTGTCAAAACTGACAAAAATTGTTAGTTTTGGCAGGCTTTCTTGCAAAAAGGCCTCTAAAAAGGCGTTTTTGCAAGAAAGCCTGTCAAAACTGACAGTTTTTGTCAGTTCTGACATGTTTTCCCCTTCCCCTTGTGCAAACAAATAGTCCCTAAGTGTAAAAAGATCCAGAGTTTTGGGGTGGGGGTGGGGGGTGAGGGGAGGTTAATGAGGCACCACGTTGTTGGATGTTTTGGGGGTTTGAGGTAAATTAAATTTTCAAAGTTGAGAAGAATTATATACAAAACCCTAGAGGCGAGGGGCTTTTACTAAAAATAAGGTAATTGAGATGGGTTCTCTGGGACAACCTCATAGTTGAGAGGGGTCCTCTAAGACTAACTCTTGATTTTATGGATATACTAGATGTTATACACGTGCAATGCACGTGGTTAAATACAATGATTAAATATTTTTGGCTTATTTTCAAAGTAAAATTTGTTTCTCAGTTCCACTTTAATAGTTTGTGCTCACTTTTGTCTCTAAACTTTTATATCGCGATTTTTTAATGTTTGTTTACATAGGCTACACCCAATTTAAATTTTCATGTTGGTCTTTGAATTGACAAAAAAATATATAATTTGAAGCTAATTTAAATGTTCATATTATTTTGACCGATATGAAACCAAGCTTTACTTGAGAAAATACAGTATTGCAAAAGTAAAAATATTAAAATAGTGTTAGGTGAATATTTAAAACTAATAAGGCAAAATGATTGACTAAAAGTATGCTACAATGATATTAAAAAAAATATAAAGTTTGTTCCTAATCATTGATAGACTTCATAAAAAATTATAAATTAAAGATTAATACTAAAAAGTTTGTTCCTAATCATTGATAGACTTCATAAAAAATTATAAATTAAAGATTAATACTAACTCTATTATACTTTTATATAGACTTCATAAAAAATTATAAATTAAAGATTAATACTAACTCTATTATACTTTTATATGATAAAAGTATCCACATAAGCATATAAAAATATTGAAAAAGTTCATGAAACTTCATTCTAAAGATTTCTAATTTCACTCAAAATAATTAATTAAACTATTCTATAATATATTTAGAAAATATTATCTTTTATTCCTTCTGTTTTATTTTTTATTGAGCTAAGATCAATCATTCTTCATCTTTTTCTTTTTCCCAAGAAATTCTCGTGTATTTATCATCTACATCGATTGTGATATCAAGTTAGAATTATATTTTTTATGTTGTTATCTTTCCTAAGCTCATTAATCTTTTATCTTCTTGTTTTACTTTACAAAGAAGTTAAATGTATTTCCGATGTTTAACACAAACTGCTTAAAATATAGACTTTGATTTTTTTTATTTCAATGAGAATAAATGTTAATTTCATATATATGAAATTCTTTGTGTTCCTAGTTTATTACTTAAATAAGATTAGAAGCTACCTCTTTTTTTTTCTACAATGAATTCTTCTAATATGCATCCAATAAGAGTTTCTATTATGTCAATGATATTACTTTTGCTTTATCCCTCTCATTTTTCACAAAGATCTAAACTAAATACTTACATTTTTCATTACTAATTTGCTTTAAATTGTAATATTAATATTTAATTTCTTTAGTATTTGAAGAACAAAGTATGAAATTTATGAATACTTACTAATTTTTTTATATCTTCCATGGAGAATTCTTCTTTGATTAGGATAAAGTTGTTAAATAATTTTTTTACGCAACTTAGTCGGTTCTTCTTTAATAGATATGCTTTATGTTAATGCTAATTCAAGTAATTTATAGATATTTTCTGAATTTTAAATTTATTTCCATTACTTTCTCATTTGCAATGGAAATAGCTTAATTCTTTTGAAGGGTATCTTTGAACATTCTGATAGTTTCTCTATATGTAATTCCTTGTATTCTTTTACCTTATAAATATTATTAAAATCAAAAATTAATGTTTCTAAATTATAATTAATTAATGCTAAGCTATTGTATTATAGTATTTTATTATTTTTATGGATTTAAACATTTATCAATTAATGTTACTAATGTATTTTTGCTGCTCCAACCTATTATTAAAATTATATGTAGTTACTTTAATTTATATAGTAGCAATAATTTTAAGCTATTTTTAAAAAAATTTATTCCTTAGCCGTATGTTTTTAATCAATTCCTATTATTTTTGTTTACCAATATCAACTTATACTATTTTTAGATGCTAAAAAGGGATAGTAAACTCTAAATTGTAATTTACACGCACATACACGCACGCGCGCGCGCACACACACACACACATCTTAATGAAAAAATACCAAACAATTACACTTTTCTTTGCCAAATTTTAAAATTTCAGTCTTTTTTATAGTTTTGAAGTTTGAGGGTGTGATTTGTAGTTTTTAAAACTTTGGGAGAGTTTTTTCAAAAAAAAATCTTTTAAGTTTGGTAGTTATAACTTCTATGTTTTATGTATTGGTGGTAATTTTTTTAAATGTCAGAATATTTCATACAACCCTGAAATTTTGAGGGTGTTTTTTTTAATTATTAAAACTATAGATTAATTTTGAAAAAATTTAAATTTCAGTGGTCTACCAATAGTTTCCAGATTTGATGTGTACTTGTTATAAATTTTAAATTTTTAGATTTTTTTTTCAATTTTAAAATTTTGAAGGAGTTTTTTACAATTTTTGTAACTTTGAGGTTAATTTTGATAAATTTTAAATTTTTAGGTGCCTGAGGGTAATATCCTAAATTCATCTTTTATTGCTGCAAAATTTAAAATTTTAGAATTTTAGGGTGATTTTTAATAATTTAAACTTTTGATAGTGTTTCTATAATTTTTGAGATATTGAGGTGTTAATTAAAAATTTTAAATTTTTCAGAGGTTATTGTTAATTTCTTAATTTCATGTTTGTTGTTTTAAGTTTTGAAATGTCAGAAATTTTTGGGTGCATCATGGTAATCCCTAGAATTCATCTATGTTGTTTATAAGTTTTTGAAATTTTTGAATTTCAGGGTGCGTGTTTGTGAACTTTTGAGGGTGTTTCTATAAATTTTGAGACATTGAGGTGTTAACTGCAAATTTTAAATTTTTCACAAAATGATGTTAATTTCTTAATCTCATGTTTGTTATTTTAATTTTTGAGACATCACGATGGTTTCTATAATTTTAAACTTTTCAGGATATTTTGTGCAATTTAATTTAAAAAATTTTAGGATTTTTTTGCAATTCTTCATGTATTATACTATGTTAGCTACGTATAATTTCTTTATCTTAACAAACTAAGACCATAAAAATATTTTATATATTTTATTAATATTATTTTTTAAATTGTTAACCTATAGATAGTTCACATAGGATTAGGATAGGATGTAATTATGATTAAGATATAAATGAAATATTCAAAATAATGAAGGGTAATATTGACCAGTGAAAGATTTCCCTGAACTCGTGCTTTTAAGATTTCCCTGAACTCGTGCTTTTAAAGGAGTATATGATTTATTAGATGAAAAATAACATTCTAAAGAATTGAAAATGCCTAAGAAAATTGATACTTGGGTTCTAAAATTAAGCTAGATATACCTAAAAGACAATTGTTGATTACACGCTGATTTAAACAAAATATTACCTCTGTCGATTGACATTTAGCACTGTAGAAATTGTTGATTACACGCTGATTTAAACAAAATATTACCTCTGTCGAATGACATTTAGCACTGTAGAAATGTTCTTGAAAGAATTATCTGGATTGTTTGAGGTAAACACATTTAGCATCTTAAAAGAGTATCCTTATTAAGTTTCCAATTATCATATCGACATGTGGGCTTCATAATATTCAATACTCATCCTGACCCCTTCGCGTTGCCAAATTCATGCAGTTTGATCCTTTTAGCTAAACTATTGTTTATGCCAGGAAATTAATCTTCGGATTGAGTAGGGATTAATAAGAAATTAGGGGGCCCTTGATCTTCTCTAGTGTCTGATAAAATTGAAAGAGGCAGATCCATGCACAAATAATCAACGTTGGAGACCCCATAGGAGTTTTCCTCCAGCTTGCCCTCCGTTGCTCAAATCAGTGACTGGTCGAATCAATACGAAGAATATTAGATTGGGTTTAAGGTTCAAAGAGTTCAGACCTAAGAATGGTGAAGATCTCTCTTGTTTTATATGGGGGTACCGAGGGCAGATTTGGTAACTTGACTTGACCGATGGAAATGATACTTCATTTGTGATTTACCTTTGTCAATAGTTCATTGGGTAACATTGTGAGAGTCGCCCATACCATATGTAATGTGAGAGTCGCCCATACCTTTGTCAATAATTCACTTTCGCTAACTCAATTTATACTAACTATCTCAGTAATGTGAGTCAAAACAACATAAACTAAGTGTACGTGCACATATCTCGGTGTGCGTATCCATATCTGGTATTCACCAACATCCCAGATGCTAAACAACTCTTAGTCATCATAATGTATCAATACAAGATCGAGAAACTCTCTAAAAAAGTCAAAACGTTGAAGAAAAATATGCACATGCTAACTGCTAGGTTGGCGGTCGACCGCAATTATGCAGCGGTCGACGGCGACAGGTTTTCAAGGTTGCCCAGGCTTCTGCCTGGCACGCGGTTGACCGCTGTTTAGGCGCGGTCCACCGTGGACAAATTTTCCAGATGATGCAGATTTCTGCACCGTGTTGTGTTCATGTCGATTTTTTGTGATTTAAACTTGTTTAATACACGTGAAACTTGCATGAAAACATGTCATGATAAATACTTCTAGAAACAATCTCAACATATATCACATGATTATTTGTATTAAATTTATATTCAAAACCCTAAATCATGCATAAAAACTCAAAACGAAGAACAAATCATCTTTCTTTAGATTAAACAACATTTTAAATCATTTTCAGATCTTAAATACTTCTGTAAATTCGTTCTTAATTTTTTTAATATGAAAAGACCTAGTCTTTATACATATAATACAAAAGAATTAACTTTTATTTATAAACTAGTCAATTTGGCTCCATAATATATGTTAAAAACTCTTTAAAAACATTTTAAAAACTGGGAGAGGGATTAGCAGAGATGATACTCGCCTGAAACTTGTTGAAGAACGTGCAAAGTGCAAAGCCAACAAAGATCTCTGATCCAAAAGCCAAAACCAAGGTAAATCCCGCTCGGAAGCCTTCAATCTTCTCCAAGAAATCAAAATGGGGTTTGTGGGGATTTTGGTGGCTGTTAGGGTTCTTTATTAGAGAAAACAGATGTGGGCTTTAAAAATCCGAAACCAACTCAGAACAGGAAAAACTCTCTGCACGTCTCGAGGTCGACCAGACTAGAAATTTCCAGTTTCTCACATATTTGGCCATTGTGCATGTTTCGACTTGTTTCTTTCTCACGTATGAACTTGTTTATACTCAAAACACATTGTATAATACTCATATACCATTAAATGATATTTATCAAAATAAATATCAATATATCATAATTAATCGCATATTAATTATATTACCACAAATTTTTAGGGTTTTACATTCAACCCCCCCCCAAAAGAATTTCGTCTGAACATCCGTGATCGCACCATAAAGATTAGTAATATGAGAAAAACACCAAGAGGGGACAATCCAGACATGAAAACCCTTCCGTACACATCTCGCACCATTAATCCCCAGGTTTGAAATATAAGCAACATTTAAACTTAACAATCTAACATGCGTGCATCCTCACTTAACCCCTAATTAGACGGAATTAGTACGTCGGGCGAAAAATCCAAATAAGGAACCCCCCCCCCCCCACCACCCCCCCCCCCCCCCATATATATACCATATGTTCCGAATAATTAAGAGCTAAGTGTTGAATGACCTATTCTAGTGTTAAATATAAATGTGACTAAACAACACATATAATCATATCTATCAATGCATATAAGCATATTTAATTATCAACATCTTACCTGTTCAAACAGGTGTGGGTAGTCACAACATACATCCTCCTTACGCTCCTAAGAAATCTCTTCGGCTCCTTACCGGTTCCACTGAACTTTCACTAATGGAATGACTTTGTTTCTAAGCTTTTTATTCTCTCCAGCAAGAATACATACCGGAATCTCTACGGTAGTCAAATCATCCTGGATCTCGATCTCTGGTGAATTAATCACCCTCTGATGCTCCTCGTCACGCAAATGCTTCTTGAGCATCGAAATATGAAAGACATCGTGTACACTCGACATCGATGTTGGAAGGTCTAATCTAAAAGAAACAGCTCCAATGCGCTCGATAATCCTGAAGGGACCAACATATCTCGGGGCAAGTTTCCCCCGTCTACTGAATCGCTGAACGCTCTTCATCGGTGACACTTTCAACATAACTAAGTCTCTGATCTGAAACTCTAAAGGTCATCTCCGCTAATCTGCATAACTCTTTTGTCGACTGTGTGCGGCAAGAATGTGCTCTTGAATCAACGTCACCTTTTCTGTGGTTTGCCTAACTAGCTCCGGACCAAGTAATAGACTATCCTCTAGCCTCGCCCAACATATAGGCGATTTGCAAGGTCTCCCGTACAAGGCTTCATACGGCGCCATCCCGATGGTAGCTTGATAACTATTATTATATGCAAATTTAATCAATGCGATGTGGTCCTCCCAGCTATCCTAAAAATCTAAAACACATGCTCTCAGCATATCCTCTAACACCTGATTCACCCTCTCGGTTTGACCATCTGTCTAAGGGTGAAAGACACTACTGAATGATAACTGACTGCCAAAGGCATCCTAAAAACTCCTCTAAAAGTGGTATGTGAAGACTGAGCCCCGATCTGATACAATCGTCTCCGGGACTCCATGTAATCTAACAATCTCCCGAATAAAAATCCTCGCGTACGTATCCGTCGTATAAGTCGTCCTCACATGTAAGAAATACGCCAACTTTGTTAATCTGTCCGCTATAACCCAAACAGAATCATTTTCTTTCTTTGACTTAGGCAATCCTACTATAAAATCCATGAAAATATATGCCCACTTCCACTCGGGAATGGGTAAAGGCTGTAGGGCTCCTGCAAGTCTCTGATGTTCTGCCTTAACTTACTGATAGGTAAAACACTTAGCCACATACTATGCAATCTCTCTGTGCATACCACTCTACCAGAAATGCCTCTTCAGATCCTTATACATTTTCGTCGTGCCTGGGTGTACTGTATATCTGCTACGATGTGCCTCGTCCAGAAGTTCCCTCTTCAGCTGTAGATTGTTCGGCTTGTCAATTCTGCCATTCATCCGAAGGCCTTCATCTACTCCAATAGTCCAATCATCATTGGGATCTTTGGAAACCTCCCCCTTACGGGTTTGAATCCAAGAATCCTCTAACTGAGCTCCAACTACTCTATCTCCCCAAGACGATTGTACCGATAAAGATCCTAAGAAAACACTGCTCCCGCCAATCTCTAGCCTGAAATCATAATGGCTGAGGGTATTAAGATCCCGGTGTAGTGAACACCTCAAAGCTGCTAGCCCATGACGACGCTTCCTGCTCAACGCGTCTGCTACCACGTTCGCCTTTCCCGGATGGTACTGTATAGCGAACTCATAATCCTTAATAAACTCTACCCACCGTCGCTGTCTCTGGTTAAGCTCTTTCTGTGAAAAAAAGGTACTTTAAACTCTAGTGATCTGTGAACAACTTAAACTGTACCACATACAAATAATGCCTCCACGCCTTCAGTGCAAAGATCACTACTGCTAGCTCCAAATCATGTGTGGGATAATTCTGCTCATGAGTCCTCAATTGTCTCGAAATATAGGCTACAACTCTCTGGGTCTGCATCAATACACATCTAAGACCCGATAAGAATGCATCAGTGTAGATAACAAAAGTCTTATCACTGCTAGGAATAATCAATACAGGTGCTGAAGTCAACTTAGTTTTTAATGTCTCAAATGCCTCCTGGCACTCTGTGCCCCAAATAAACTATACACCCTTCTTAGTAAGGCGTGTAAGGGGCATTACGATCTTCGAGAAGTCCTGAATAAAATTTCTGTAATAGCCCGCCAGACCTAAGAAGCTACGAATCTCGGTAACCGTCTTTGACGGCTCCCAATCAAGTACGGCTTCTACTTTAGCCGGATCTACTATAATGCCCTCTCGGCTGATGACATGGCCCAAAAATCGGACCTCCGATAACCAGAAATGACTCCGCAAACTGGTTGCCTCTGGAGGTCTCTACCACTAACTCAGATCCATCACAAGCTAGCAAGCTGACTGTCTTTGCAAAACAGTCGATACTCACATGGTAGGAAGATAACCAATCCATACCAAGGAAGCAAGCTGACTGTCTTTGCAAAACAGTCGATACTCACATGGTAGGAAGATAACCAATCCATACCAAGGATAACATCGAACTTTCTTTGCAAAACAGTCGATACTCACATGGTAGGAAGATAACCAATCCATACCAAGGATAACATCGAACTTAGACATACGTAACACAATTAAATAGATCACAAACTCGGAATCGTCCAAGCTGATGATACATCTCCTACAAACACTCTCTAAAAGAGACATCTCTCCCAAAGGAGTAGACACAAATAACAGAATATCTAATGGCTGCGCTACAAGCTGAAGTCTAACCATAAAATTGTAGGAGATAAAAGAATGTGAAGCACGAGAATCAAAAAGAATATGTGCTGGAAAGGAGTTCACGAGGAACATACCTTCCACCATAGCCCCGCTCGTGTCATGATCGTGAGGAACAACTGCGTACACTCTACCTGTAGCCGAAGGCTGCTGCGATGCATCGCCTAGAACGTAAGGGACCATCTGTCCCTACTGGATCTCTTGAATCGCTCGCACTTGTCCCTCAAAACTCAGGACTACTGGAGGTGCCTCAATCCTTAACTGCTAACCCTGACCCCATCCCTGAGCACGATTCTATTATTGTTGCTGATTTCTACCCTACTGGCCTGCTGTGGGTGCGATGCGGTACTCCGTTGCTCTGTGTCCAAACCTGTTGCATTTAAAACAAGTCCCCTAAAATTTGTGTTGTTGCTACGCTCTCTGGTCCTACTTGTGTCCTTTCTTATGGGGACCCTGCTGATGTGGACCCTTACCCTGCTACTAGGGTCCTTCTGAGCTTGTAAAATGTCTCTTATCTTTACCTTTATCCCCGGACTGTCCTGACTTAGCATTACCATCTTTGCCCTTAATGAATATAGTTGTGTCTGTCTCCTGAGCCATGGCAGCATCTGCCACCTCCCGCACTGAACAAAACCTCCGAGATACTAGATATCGGCGTAAACCTGGGCGAAGTATCATCATAAACATCTGAGCCTGCTGCTCCTTGGTGTTCCACATGCCAGTGAATCTAAGTAGTGACATGAATTTACTCTTAAAATCCATCACAAACATATCCCCCTGCTCCAACCGAGCCAGCTCTAACTCCTTCCCGGCTTTCACTGCAGTCGAAACATACTACTCATCAAAGAAATACACAAAAGTCTCCCATGAGATCGTCATCCTCTGATCTGGAGTAAAACGAAGTTGATACCATCCTCCTGTATCGCCCTTGAGGTTGAAAGCTGCTAGCCGCTGCTTCTGCACCGAATTCACATTAAGCATGTCCAAGATGTTGCTTACATCTTCCTTCCATTTGTGTGTAGCAATAGAATCCGTCAAACCATGAAACTCTGGAACCTTCAACTTCTGGTACCTCTCTACCAGACGAAGCCAAGCCTCCTGCTTAGCCACTCCATCACCAACTAAAAGTGGTGGTAAATCTACTAGTGTCCCTTCTGGTATCTCCTCCTGAATGGGTGTCTCCTGTCGAACATGATCTGCTAACTGTTCCTCAATAGCTGTCAGTCGAGCTACTAACGGTGCTATAAGATCCACTAAGTACTGCAAACCCTGCTATGGCTCGGGCTCTCTATCGACTTGCTCAGCTCCCTGAGCACGAGTACCTCGACGTCCGCATCCTCTTCCTGACATCTTTAATTTAGAAGTAGAGCTCATTACACACAGTAAACAGGATCTCAAGCATGAAAGGATATAACGTATACCAACAAGTAAATCATATCACATATTTCTCATAGCATGCTTTATTATTCAAAGCAAATAGTTCATCAAAAAAGAAATTGTAATTTTCAGCGTACATATATAATACGTCCTCACTCATACTAGGAATTCCTAGCGGACTGTATACATGATTCCTAGGAAACTCTATCCTAACTCCACAATATGACACAAGAATGATCCTAAGGATATTGGAACTAGAGCTCTGATACCAACTGTGACGTCCTAAGGTTCACGCAAGGCTGCAGTCCAATGTAAAACCCGGATTGTCAAACCTGCCAAGCACCAAACACCATACTATGACATGTTTCACCATCACAGTCACTATATCTCTAGTAAAAACAACAAATATGTGAAGGTACAGACAGACAAATAATAGAAGTAGAACAAAAGCAGGTATACACAGAATAAGTATAAGAATAATCATCTGTGAGCCCAACTAAAATAGAATAGAAATATCTCTGAGTCTGAAATAAATCTCAAATACAACGAGTCAAATAAAATATCACTATGGCTCTCAGCCTCTACAAAATAAAATACAAGTCTAAAGTCAGAAAATAACAACTAAATGTGGAGTTCTGCAATAGCTACAAATATAATAAATATCTGGATGGAATCTATGAAGAAATCTCATCAACCTACGACTCTCCGTGCACCGGACTCGCTGCCTAAAAGGGGGAAAAACAATAAACGTCAAAACACTAGCGAGACCATCTCCACCGCTCTCCATGGGAAGGGTAGGAGTGTATAGAAAATAGAGTCAGTACATATACAATATGAAATCATTCGAATGACTTTAACTGGAGACTAGTATTTAGAAATCCACAACACGAGAATTAGTACGTCGAGCGAAATTATCCAAACAAGAAACCCTCATATATATATCATATCTCAAATTGTGAATCCCTAAATACCAATTCCACCTCTATGACTGAAAACAACAAACAAAAAGGAAATACTCCAAACCTCAACCATATAATATTTGTATCTCATCTCGAACTACCCTCGAGTGGTCGGCGCAAAAACAAAAGAAGAATCATCCAACTCACAATCGCCATGGGCTATAACATGTATGCCGTACATCAAGGGATATACCCTACTCATGGGTATTCTAACATGGGAGCACAACACAGCTGTAAGCATATATAATTATATGCCTATCTATGAACAATAGTGATACTTTTGTGAGGCTCGCATAATACTATGCGGTCAACGGATACAATCCTCCTTACTAAATCACTCTGCGGCAATAGGTTTTTATCTCCCTATTCCAGATACACAATATAATGATAATTTTGTAAGGCTCACATTATACTATGCGGATATCGGATACAACCTCCTTACTCAATTGTCCTAGCGGCTAATAGATTTTATCTCTCTATTTCCGAATTACTCATTTGTCTAGCGGTAATAAGTTTTATCTCCCTATTTTCGGATATGCTGCCAGATGATCATACAACGGTGAATAGGCATATTAGCCCAACCCGGATAAATATACGCCGATCACCTTCTAGTATTTGGTACAACCATTGTCTCGTTATGGGAAAACACCCAAATACCCCTAGCGTGGTACAACCGAAATCTTCTTACAGGATAAACACCCACACTGAGCATCCATAGCCATGAGCAATACTTTATCATACAATAATTCACTTTCGCCAACTGAATTTATACCAACCATCTCAGATCTGTGAGTCAAAACAACATAAACTAAGTGTACATGCACATATCTCGGTTTGCGTATCCATATCTAGTATTCACCAACATCCCATATGCTAAACAACTCTTAGTCATCATAATGTATCAATACAAGATCGATAAACTCTCTCGAAAACTCAAAACGACGAAGAAAAACATGCACATGCCAACTACCAGGTTGGCGGTCGACCGCAATTATGCAGCGGTCGACCGCAACAGGTTTTCAAGGTTGCTCAGGCTTCTACCTGGCACACAGTCGACCGTCGTTTAGGCGCGGTCGACCATGAACAAATTTTCCAGATGGTGCAGGTTTCTGCATCGTGTTGTGTTCATATTGATTTTTTGTGATTTAAACTTGTTTAATACATGTGAAACTTGCATGAAAGTATGTCATCAGCAGGTAAATACTTCTGGAAACAATCTCAACATAAATCGCATGATTATTTGTATTAAATTTATATTCAAATCCTAAATCATGCATAAAAACTCAAAACGAAGAACAAATCATCTTTCTTTAGATTAAACAACATTTTAAATCATTTTCAGATCTTAAATACTTTTGTAAATTCGTTCTCAATCTTTTTAACATGAAAAGACCTAGTCTTTAGGGAGGCACTGCAGGCACACCCTTGGGCACACTCTCAGCCACATTCCCTAGAGTGTTTTTCTAGTCTTTATACATATAATATAAAAGAATTGACTTTTATTCATAAACTAGTCAATTTGGCTCTATAATACATGTTAAAAACTCTTTAAAAATTTTAAAAACTGGGAGAGGGATTAGCAGAGATGATACTCACCTAAATCTTATTGAAGAACGTGCAAAGTGCAAAGCCAACAAAGATCTTTGATCGAAAAACCAAAACCAAGCTAAATCCCGCTCGAAAGCCTTCAATCTTCTCCAAGAAATCAAAATAGGGTTTGTGGGGTGTTTGGTGGCTGCTAGGGTTCTTTAAAATACTAAAAATCTCGTGAATATGATATATATATATATTAGAGAAAACGGACATGGGTTTTAAAAATCCGAAACCAACTCAGAACTAGAAAAACTCTCTGCAGGTCTCGCGGTCGACCACGGCGGTCGATCGGATTGGAAATTTCTAGTTTCTCACATATTTGGTCGTTGCATGTTTCGACTCGTTTCTTTCTCACGTATGAACTTGTTTATACTCAAAGCACATGGTATAATACTCATATATCATTAAATGATATTTATCAAAATAAATATCCATATATCATAATTAATCACATATTAATTATATTACCACAAATTTTTGAGGTTTTACGGTGTAAAACCTTGTAAATTTGATTTTCTTATGTGATAAAAAATAATAAATATGTTATATGATGATAAATAACATATTTTGATGTTTGAGTATGTTAGGAATTTATTGAGATCAATTCGATGTATATATATACGAGTATGGATATGAAACAGTATGCACATGCAAAATAGACTCAGGTAGTCGACTAATACCCTTAGTAGTCGACTACTCTAGACCAGATACAGTGTACGTAAACTTGAATATTATAGAGTAGTCAACTAATGAGGCTTAGTAGTCGACTATCGGGAGTTTTCCTGGGCATCCCAAGTTTGGATTTCGGGTCGGTTTCGAATTGTTTTGAGCCCAGATCTTAACCTAAGTATATAATCATGTTTAAACCCTAATTCCTAGGTTATTTCAAGTGAGAACACAGCCACCCTCCTCCCTAAAACCCTAGACCTTGTTTTGGTGTTCCTCGAGGTGTTTTGAGATGTGATATCGAGCAGAGGGAGAGATCGTGGACTTTTGCTGGAGAAGGGATCTTGCATGCGTGTTCAGGAGTTCAACACATCGATTTAGGCAAGATCTTGTTCATCCAAACCTTTCCCTTTAGTTTTTAATGATTATCAAGATGTTAAATCAATATTTTCATGCTTAAGCTTAAATCTAAGTGATAAAATTTTGATTTTCGATGATGAATCATGAACCAGTGCTAGATCTGATGCTTAACCCTTGCTGTTAATGTTAGAAACATGACCATGATCATTAAGGTTGATGTTAATTTCT